CTGCATACAGATGAAAACATGCCATCTCTTATTTCAAATGCTACTGTATAATGGTTAAAAAACGCTGTTTTATTTGCATGATTTTGTTATTGTAGTGATGTAGAATGTTTAATCGCTAATTCCGTATAAACGATACAGTTTCTGTACTATAAACATTTAAATCAGCTATTTAAAACCAATAAAAGTATTGTTTGCAAATACACATGTAAGGAGAATGATGCATGTTTTACCGTTACATTCTAACCTGATATACCTCAAAACATATGTGGAACAAATATGTCTAGTATACGAGACTGAATAAAGAGCTGGATGCTTTTAATTAACGCAAAATGTTCCTTTTACTCTGTCAAAGCACACTTTGTATTCACTAATATTTGAATATTTCAGCGAATGTGTTAATGAATACAACAAAAGGCTGTTCGTGCGTTTTTTTGTTATGTGTTGTTACACATGATTTCAATGTTTTGTAGCATATACCGCAAATAAAGATGCCTGCGAATGTAAATTTGAGACCCGAAATTTTTTTAAAAGTATGCTATAATTTTTAATTAATTAATTAATGAATGAGAACGTTCCAAGTAGATATTTTCTTGTTTTGTGCAGATTGTAAGACGAACATTTTGAATAACGCTCAACATAAATGTCAATGTATCATCTTAATTATAATACACTTAATTTGATATCAAAAACACTAAATAATCAAAATGACAATATGTTTAAAAAAAGCGAACTTATGATATGTTGTGCTTTGCGCATGTTTTTTACGCATTAACTTTTTAGATTAATTAATTATGCAGATATTGTTAAATTAATTCATAATTATCCTTACATTAAATTGCAATATTATTGATTTGGATATTTAAAGTTACCTGATACTGCCCAAACAGGTGCAATTCGCAAACAAAATTAACACATGGGAGCTCTAAATCTAGCTAAATAAATTATGAAATAAAAACAATAAGTTCAATAAATAAATAAAAAACGAACCTCTGCACAAGATATTCAAAAACATTGTATCTGCATACAAATTGTTAAAATTATGAATATGGTGTTATTAAGCTCGGTTTCAGTCGAAACCTCTTCAGCAGCCTAAAAAGGTCTAGATGTATGAAATGGATAATACAATTGGAAAATATTTAAAAAACTGATTTGATTATAACCCTTTATAAATACTTAGAGTGTGTGTGTGTGTGTGTGCTGGACTTCAAACAAATACTATATATTTCAACAGTTATGCTGCCAAATATCTTGTAAATAATATTTAAGTAATTATGTGTAAAATACTTAAATATGTAAATTAAATATTTAATTAAGCAATTCTGAATATGAAGATAATTATATACAAGTGTGTGAAGTCTGAATCACTGAAAAGTAAAATGAGACAGACAAAGCATGCACATACAAACAAGAAAATTGTGTCCTGTATTATAACAACATGTTTGATATTAATCTATAAATGTAATACATATATGAATAAATGATTCATAACAATAGTTTAAGATGGTCTGAAATTGATGTTTTATGTAAAAGAAAAAAGAACGCACTAGTGATTTAAAATGATTCAGAATAAGTGTCACTGATTATGTTGAAAATAAATAAAATACATATTGTGTTTAGCATCATAATTCATACACAATTTAATGTGAAAGTAATTACACGGATATTAATTAAAACGAGGAGTTAAGGAACAAGGAAAAGGCTAATGGAGCAACATGGACCAGCAAATTCTGCCAAAGCCTAAAACCTGCATCTTGTGGGTGATGTAGCTGCAGGGGTATAATTGCAAGTGACCACGGCGGCTGGAACATAGCTGCACGGTGCTTAACCCCTACATTTCCCTCATCCCTGTGACCTCCAGGACTCAGAGGCAGGTGGGCTCCTGCAAAATTCAGAGGTGGGGGTAGGGTTGACGTCAAAAGGGGGACAAGCTGTGCATCACAGCCAGTAACATATGAACGCTGCCCCCGTAAGGGTCGGCGGAGACCCCGTCTGGCCTTGGAGCTCCACACGCCCATAAAACAAGCCATTAAAAAGCCGTTCACGGCAAAGCATGAGCTCGTTAGGACAATTAACAAGAGAGGTGTTTAACTTGGCACTACATTAACACTCCAGGAGGGACCCCACCAAAACTACACGACTGTGTGTGTCCCCAACACAACCTACACAGACACGTCAGATGTCACATAAAGCAGATTCTGCCGCGTGAAGTCAAAAGCGAACTTCGAAATAAATGATGTTCCCCAGCATTAAATTGAACCATTTAGTCTTGCAAAATCCTAATTCTTATTCATAACTCAAATATGTCCATTATACTGCATAATTAAAGATGCATTATGAAGGCCACAAATGCATTCGCTATCTCTCCACGGATAAACAAAGCATCGGGACGTCCCTTTCAGGAACTGGACGACAGCATCGCCGCCACGGTATTAGTCTGAATGCGAGGCCAGCGGGAATAATTCCTCTATTTTTGTCCAAGCGATCTAGCAACGAGACAGGACACCGAGGCGACGCTTGGCTGGGTCAAAATGACACATTCAACTCATCCGTAATGAAAGTAAATAAGAAGTGTGACAATCTGCATTTCATGTATTTTTGTACATCATGGACTCTGCGATATGCAGAAATCCGTTCCTCACAGAGAAAGAGACTATGACCAAGAGAGATAAAGGGAATTGCTTCTCCCATCTTGTTTAGAATTGTAAATATGGCGTATAGGCATTGCTGCTGTCCAATTACATATATCTTTCATGTATGAAATCATGCATGGCTCTTTTTACCGCGAGGCCAAGGAGGGCTGGCTCAAAGGGAGCGACCCCCGGCCGCAGTGCACTACATCCCTCATGCAGAGCGGGGTCTGGTGCTGGAGCCCTGGGCTAAGAGCACTGTTCCATTAGCGCTCTCGGATGGAGGGGAGGATGGGTGGAGGGAATGAGAAGGGAGATTCGCTCTCCTGATGGGGGCGTTCACCGCTTATGACTTCTGCTGACTTACGTATGTCCTGTTGTAAGCGTGCATGACCCCTCAAACCCTATACCTTTGACGTAGCCCTTTGCAAGAGCCCATTTCGGAGTCACTAATTAGTTTAACAGAGATGCTCAATGCTTTGAAGTGTTGTATTCATTTATGTTTTTTTTTTTATGAGCAAGATGCACAATCTGCTTTGTTATTGATTTATTTGCTTTCTCTTTCCCCACAAATGACAGCTCCCCGCTGAGTACTAATGTGAAATGACCTAAATTTGGCAAAATGACTTTGAACTTTTCAAACAAAGGCCCTGCTCTCTTCTCAGAACCTAGCTGATCCCCAAAGTGTCTTGCGTTCTACCTCCTTGGCTGTCTGTTTTTCTTTTTAAATGCTTAATTCTATAAACACTATTTACTTTCATTCAGGGTTACACCGAGAGCAGCGAACACCATCATTTTGAACAGCTACAGAGCATGTGTGTCTGTCATGTTAGCAAAACAAAAATATCACTGCTTAACATTTACACGCGATTATGCTAGTCACCGGCGCAGCACTGTGTGGCTGTTTTGTAACTACACTGTAAAATGTTTATAGAATTAACCTAAAATGTAAAACGTTTAAACAAACTGATTTTATTCAAATCAAAGAAATTATTTAATCATCACCAAATACCCCAATTAAAGTCTTTTTTAAGAAGCAGATCAGACATAAAAAGCTCCATAAGGCAATGACCGCAGATGAAATGGTCAGAGGAACACTAAAAACTAAATCAGTATTCATACTCAAGGTGAGAAATTTGTTCATAATGCATCTCTCATCATAGACGTACAAAAATTACTCTCATGCTAGGAACAAGCATTAAAAGAATATTCTGGGTTAATACAAGTTAAGTTCAATCGACAGCATTTTTGGCATTATGTTGATTACTGCAAAAAGTAATTTCAACTCGTCTCTGGTTTTCTTTTTAAAAAACAGAGTTACAGTGAGGCACTTTCAATGGAACTAAATGGGGCCAATTTCTGAAAGATTTTAAAAGCAGAAATGTGGAAGTTTATAAAAACAGTTACATTAATTCTCCTGTCAAAACCTGTGTATTATTTGAGCTGTAAAGTTTTTCTTACCATTTTATGGTCATTTTATGATTTTAAGCATCACAATGTAATTGAATATACAGAATGGGTTAGTAAACAATTTTTTTCACATTAAAGTAATCTTATATTGTCTTGTTTGTATTTTTCTCTATATAAATTGTTTTCAAGAAAAGGAAAGACAAGTCAAAATTATTTTTTTGTGGTAATCAAGTGCTATTGACTTAGTTGAACTTTTATTGAACTCAGAATATGTCTGCAGCACAGCCTAACTTGCATTATGTAGATGAAAATATGCAATGATAACATGTATCTGTATATCTGTACACTCTTTCTTTTCTGTCAGTCAATCTATCTATCTCCTTCTCAGTCGCTTTCCAGGATTTCCCTGCACCTAAGCATCTTTGAGCCAAACAAATTCAATCAGCACACATTCCCTCTAATCCTACAGCAGCAGACAGGTGATTGAGTCTTTAAACCCGGGAAGCCTTTATCTACAGTGGGCTCTCCTGTAGGTCCAGCATGGAGGAGAAGCCGCCTATGTGGGTGTGGACGCAGGGAGTCCATCTGGGCTTCAAAAGCCCCCGAGGAGCTTTGGGGGTGTTGCCAGCAGGAAAAGAAGTGACTTCACAGCCTTACCTGATGGGGTTTTTGGTTTCAGTTGCCACCGCTCGGAAGCCCTCTCTGACCGCGTCCTTCTTTTCAAGTGTTCGTTTGAAGTGGGTGACAGGTGATTGAGTCTTCAAACCCGGAAAGCCTTTATCTACAGTGGGCTCTCCTGTAGGTCCAGCATGGAGGAGAAGCCGCCTATGTGGGTGTGGACGCAGGGAGTCCATCTGGGCTTCAAAAGCCCCCGAGGAGCTTTGGGGGTGTTGCCAGCAGGAAAAGAAGTGACTTCACAGCCTTACCTGATGGGGTTTTTGGTTTCAGTTGCCACTGCTCGGAAGCCCTCTCTGACCGCGTCCTTCTTTTCAAGTGTTCGTTTGAAGTGGGCGCCAGAAAGGTCACAACCCTTGCGGTCACAGCAGGTTTGGTGCAATGGCAGGCGGATGGCCGTAATCTATCGCTAGTTCTAAAGCTATCGTTTTTTTTGTTGTTGTTTTTTTGGTCTGTTGGTATATTCAAAAGTAAAGAGGAATGTAAAGCTTTCAGATCCAGTGCCTGGGCACCATTAGTCGGTCCCTTGGCAAGGGCTTGGGATAATGTAGTCCTATAATTCCAGGTATTTCCAGGTTTTTTCAAAGCTACGAGACTCGGTTATGAGATTTGATTTGAAGCATCCATAGTCGATGGAAAAGCCTTTCGAAGTGATGGCGCCACCTAGGGATAAAACAAACAAACATGCTATTAGCATTTACAGCAAAAGTTCTTTCATGCAACCGAACAAAGGATGAAACAAGAAACACATTTAATAGATTCTCAAAGAAATGTACAAACACACACAATTTGCCTTTTATAAAGCAGAGCTGAGAGGAGGTGAGGCCATTGTTAGTTATGCTCCATAAGTGAGTGCAGATTTTTTGCTTTGCTTACTCGTTGCCCCTGAGAAAGAGCCGGCTAAATCTCTTTCAGGAGGGGAGGACACAGAACAATATGGCTTCTATCAAGTCTTTTGAATTCTGTAATAAGCTGTTTTAGAGAACGGAAAATTAATATATAATTATTTTTATTACTGCTGCAGGACAAAACCTTATGATTTTCCAGATTACGTTAAGCAATAAATGCATTTCTTTGAGTAATTTTCCCTCTTGTGGCATTAAGGACTCTTTCTCTCCATAAAAAAAAGAAGATTTCCGGAGAAACTTAATTTTCCCCATAACCAGAACAAGACATATTCCTGTAATAACATGCATAATTGTGCACTCTGCGGAAGATCTCTCATACACAACAACAAAGCCACAGCACATATTTATTCACATGTCAGTTCCAACATTGAAAGAGAAAAAAAGGAGGAGGCAAAAGCAAAGGGGAACGCCACATGGGGCTGGGTTTGAAAGCCGAGTAAATGTGTCTATCATAGGCTATGGCTCTGACAGTTCTCGCCTGTGCTGCTTGGGCTTCAGTTGAGGGAATAAAGGACAGAGAAGGAGACAGACTGTGATTTCTGAACGGTCCCCCTGGAGTCTCTTCTATTTGGCAACATTTTTATGATTATTTTTACCTCTGTGGATAGAGCAGGGTTAAAGATGCTGTTTAATTGTTCCCAAGAGCTCTTATTAAGTTGTTGATGAGGAGCTCCAGGGAGAGGCACTTAAAACTGCAACAAAAACAAGCAGTCGAGTCAGAAAAGCTGGTGAGGGGACGGAGGAGGAGGTGCGGCAGGGGTTCCGAGATGGGATGATGAATGGATGGAGTGTGGAGGTCTGAAGTTTTTCGATGCCGGCTTGCATCTACAGTCGACGTTCTGTCTCTACACCAGGGCCGTGACCACCCGGACGAGTACCCGTCAATAATTAGAAACGGTCAAATTGTCCCCTTCAATATTTGATATTCTTGACACTGCTCTGTTTGTTGTTTTAGTTTTAGGCTGGTGTGCCTCAAAAGTCTATAACAGTGCTTTATTTAGAAGGCTGGCATTACGGTTCACTTCAGTTTTAATGGTTAAAGAGCATGAGGTACAAAGTAAGTAGCTATTTAAGATCATTTAATATCTTAAATGAATATCTAGAACTGTTTTATTATGATAGGAATGTTTAGCAACCAACAGTAATATGCAGTGATGCAAACTACTCAACCATTTTGCCATTTTGAATTGAAAATATAGGCTATAATGTATGTGATTCGTGTAATTCATGACTAAATGTAAGCAAGATGAAACATTAATGGAGCCATTTTCAACACATTAGGTATTAAGAGTGAAAGTGTGCATATTTTAAAATAAAAAAATATTTTTTTTGTATCAAAATGTATATATGTACATTTAAAAAAAAATTATTACAATAAATTCTAGTTCTTATGATAGTGTTTTTTTTCCCGTTTCCCATTCTTTATTCCCTTAAGTCCCGTTAAATAATTTCATTATTTAATTCCTTAAAAAAATATTTTTCAAAAACTTGCTCTGCGCAGAGGCTGACTGACAGGAAGTGATGTAAATGGCACGACTATCTGTTAGTCTGGCCAATAATACAGTATATGGGGAAACCTGTCTGAAAACAGTCAGTCTTGAAATTCTATTTGGGGGCACTAGTATTACATAAATTATGATCTACACCTTTAAATATACAATGAATCAATATTGCAACATGATGAGAAAGGTCTGCTGCAATAAGACAAACTATTACAACATACTATACTGGTTGGACAACACTAAATATTTCTAGTTCAGTTCAGTGGCATGGGTGCATTACATACAAAAGCATCCAATGCTCTCTCAGGCCATACCTCCCCATTCGCACCTTCTCCACCGGGTAGACTGTGGCCTTACATTGGGCGGAGCAGCGGGACAGAGTGGATCTGGATCAATACCCCAGCCTGCAGCACAGCGGGGCCGTGGGCTATCCCTGACCTGGGCTATTGATCAGCCGCTCCTCGGCTGCCAATAGCAATGTGCTAGATGTGACACAGGGGCTGAGAGCAGACAGGCGGCTGAGGGATGGGGGAATGTGTATCGCCAGTGGCAGCCCCACAGCACAGTGAAGATAAAAGTCAATTCCACTTAACCAAATCACTGACAACTAAATAGTTAGTGGACGGAAGAATGTGTAAGGACTCAGGTGGTGGCAGCTGGCTGCATGGATGACTGGGAAGCTGGGATTCCCAGGATTCCCCTCACCTGCACTGAGAGAGCCCTAAATATGGGTGTGTACCACATGACCAGGTCTAACAAACTACAGCCATTTAACAGGCTAAAACTTTTAATATTATTGATTATATTTCTAATTTAGGATATTATTATGTTAATAATAATAAAATACTTTTATACATTTAAACCTAATTGTAAATTTAAAAAAATATTAAATTAGGAATTATTTAAATGTTAACATTTTTTATAAATTATTTGGACATTGTTTTAATATCACATAGATTAAAGATCTGTTTATGTTCTGTACAGCACTCCCAGGCAGCCCATCTAATCTATCTTCCAGTCAGCCATTAGCAGTCCATATCAGAGTAGTTTACATGTCACTTTACTGCTCCACTGCCTGTTCATTGCCATTCTGTAGCCAATGACCCGCTTGTCCATTCAACACCTATCTAAGGCTTCATATCTCTTCCTTTAATTACTGACTGACAGGAAGGCAATACTGAACACTTCATTATAGAATCAGCCCAGTGACCAGCCACCACAGCCCAAGTCTCTGGTCAGTCTGATATGCAATGCCTAGGTCAGCAAAGGTCAGTCACCCTGAATTTATCAGCCAGGAGTTGACCGAACCCAGCCAGGCCATCGTACAGCGGGGGAAGTGACCTTGGCCGACTGCTTACATCACGTATTGATCCAGCCGTTTATGTCAAGGCCACACTAATCACCAATAGCAGAGTCTCCAAAGGACAGTTAAGCACCAGTGGATGTGTCTATAACTGAGATTAGAGAGAGAAAACATAGGGGGAAAAAGGAGCTGCAAGGTTTTTAGCTATGAAAATGGCTCAACTTTAAAAACGTACTTGCTGTAAATGTGCGGTCACATTAGCAAAATTGCAGGAAAAAAAAAACTGATAATAAAAATATATAAATAATGGACCAAAAAGGTCCATTCACAACAAAGTCACTTTCAAACCAAGCAGCTTTATGTTGGTCAACATGTCAAATTTGTGACCAACTGAACCTGATGCAAAATCTGCACTGGAAAATGTTTCATTCTCAAGCGAAATTCCAGATTGCGTGGATTCCTATTAAAATGGCTGGATTTCGCCTGTGAAAATTCCCTTAACAATGGTAAGTATGAGCACACTAGGGGCCCCAAGTTGGCCCCGGCACCCTGGTTGGAAACCATGGGCTCAAATAATGGCCTGTTTGTCTCCAAAGCACTGGGATGTGTCATATATTTTAAATTCTTTCATATTAACACAATACACTTTTAGAATGTATTTACAGTATATGAGACTTTCCATTCACCTCAATTGCATGGAAAAGAGTGACTTGCACAGTATTCAAAATGTCTCCTTTTATGTCACACAGGTTTAGCATGACAAATTAGTAAATAATGCCAGAATATTCTTTTTTATTTATTTTTTTTACTATTACTTTAAGTACAGCCATATGTCAGATATCAAACTTACTAACACTGACATCCAATGTCCAATTAAATTACAGGAAAGGGCTTCCCTCTGAAACCAGTTCAGTTCAAGGGACACAGCAGTAATCAGCACCTGAACAAACCCATGTTAGAAACTCTCATAAGCCTAAACTGTTTGCAAGACTAAGTATCTTCTGTGCAGACCTGGGTTCAATAGTGTGCAAGAGAGCGCTTCAGAGAAAGTTTCAGTACAAATGTGTGTGTATTTGTGTAACAGAACTTGTGTAAATCCCATTTCCCTGTGTGTTAGCGTAGCGCAGTGCCAGCTGCTCTTCAGATCTCTTTCTCGCTCGGCATTGCTCGCATTAAATGACAATAAAGGTCAGGAATCCGTGGAGCAGGAGAGACGAGCAGCCATTTCAACCCTTCTTGCTTTATTACGCTTTGTTCTGTTTAATCAAAAAAGTGATGCATACAGCTAACCCCTTTTTAAAAAAGACCTGATAAACAGAAACGATTGCATCTCTAAATAATAGATGATATCCTGGCTTCATACAGACACATATATAACGGGAAAACAATTGAAGACAACAATGTCCTATAAGAGACCCACTTGAGCAATGCTGATTCAGAAAGCTTCCTGACTTCAAACGCTCTGTCATAAAGTATGGATAATCCCTTAAGAAAGGCGTGCGTCTGTTTACAATTTTCTTCTAATTAAGGCTACAGAATAGGGCGATCTTTGTTCAAGTTGATGCGTGTTGGTTGAATTTTGGCAGAAAACTGTACCATTGGAAAAATGTGTGTTTGTGGGGGGGTTACGAAGTAACGAAGTAAACAATAACATCCTAATACAATCTTAGCGTCTGAATAAATATTCTTGCATCTGTCTACACATGACACACTTTCAGATAGGAAAACAGGTTTTCAAAATAACAAATTAACCAAGTCTTTTTTTTGTTTTAAACAATAACCCCAGTTTTAGACAGTAATCCCAGTGGTCTACGTGAATCCAAGAGGATCTCAGACACTGCATCAAAATGAAGTTTTGACCTCAATTTGTCTTGACTTCCCTCAAAATCTGGCCACTTTCTTATCTTTGTCGTGTGTGAATTTAAATCGGTTATGGAACAAATCAATCAG